CAAGGTTAGGCGAGCCACTTACCTCAAGCCAAGCTCAATCAGTCAATAAGAATGCCTTTTCATCGACTTTCTGATTCCGAATGGCTTAAATCTAGCCAAAGCAATTATATACCATAAATATAACTATAAGATTTAAAAAACTAATCTAATTAATGAAATCAAGACTTTAGCAAGAAATTAGAAATTCGCCCCAAAAAGTCGACAGGCTCACGTCTCGGGATAGGGTAAAAGTCACAAAATACGAACACCATTCAACCACGACTTCACCCATACCCAAATTATTCAAATCCGATACCAAAACCTCAATCAAAACTCTAAAATCCGGTATAAGAACTTTCCAACTTTTCCCCCAAATTTCTCAACCCAAAACCTTAATTAATGATGAAATTAACGAGGGATTAGTGGATATTAATCAAAAGCAAGTGTAGAATCCTTATCCAAATATTTTCTCTGAAAATCCCTCAAATTTCGCATCAATCCGAGCTCTCAAGGTCCAACAATGAAAATGGGAGAAAACCCCTCGTTTTGAAATTTTAAAGTTCTGCCTAGATATTTCTTCTTCGTGAACGCGGAAATTGCATCGCGTCCGCGAAACACAAAAAGCTACTGACCAAAGTTCCCTCTTACGCGAACGGGGTCCAAACGATCCTCTAGCTTCACGATCGCGAAGCCCTATGCGCGAACGCATAGGCCAAACTCAGGAGTCTACCCTAGCTGCCTTTCCTTTTCGCGAATGCGGCCCCTCATACGTGAACGCATAGAACAATTTCCTTCACCTTCGAGAATGCGTGGCCAACTTCGCGAACGCGAAGAACAAACTCCGCTAGCCTCCCAGATACCCTTCGTGAGCGCGGGACCTCTCTCGCGAACGCGATGAAGGAAACCAACAACAGAACATTAGTGATTTTTCTACAATTCCAACAAGTCCTAAAATGATCCGAACATGATCCAATTCACACCCGAGGCCCCTAGGACCTCAACCAATTATACCCATCAGTCCTAAAATATCATACGAACTTAGTAGAGCCTTCAAATCATATCAAACAATGCTAAAAACACGAATCACACCCCAATTCAAGCTTAATGAACTTTGAAACTTCAAACTTCTATAACTGATGCCGAAATCTATCAAAATACGTCCGATTGACCAAATTTTGCACACAAGTCGCATTTCATATAGCGGACCTACCAACTTTCGAAATTGGAATCCGACCCCGATATCAAAAAGTCCACTCCCGGTCAAACTTCCCAAAAATCCAACTTTTGTCATTTCAAGCCTAATTCAACTACGGACTTCCAAATTACAATCCGTACAAGTTCCTAAGTCCAAAATCACCTAACGGAGCTAACGGAACCGACGAAACTCCATTCCGAAGTCGTCTTCACACAATTCCAACTACGGTCAAAATTCTAGAACTTAAGCTTCCTTTTTAGGGACTAAGTGTCCCATTTCACTCCAAAACCAAAAACAAATCCTCCCGCAAGTCACATAAGCATAAAATGAAATAGAGGAAGCAGTAAATAAGGGATCAGGGCTAATACTCTCAAAACGACAGGCCGATTCGTTACAATTAATCATTAAGAATATCATAATATTCTAAACAACTTTTTAAGTTCAAGGGTGGTGGAAAAATTTGAGTTTACTTATTTTGGAAATAAGATATACACTGAAGAGTCACCGGACAGAAACATTTGCTTGAATAATGAAATGAAATATGACAAGAATTGAAAGAATGAATGAATCTTGATGAATTAAATCATTAAGTCAGAAAAAGTAGTACATAAACAATAATTTTAACTCTTAATTAACCTCCTAAAGAATAAGCACTTGTGTCGTTGCAATTTGCAACCAAAGATTGTCAATCTCTTCATTTTGTTGTAGACTTTGGGATATAATGCCGAAGGTTCCTTCTCTTTTAATCTGTTTGTGGACTTTCAGATGCTATTGCGGATTCTTCATTGCCTGCTTCTTTAAGAAAAATAGTAGTATCAAGTTGCCATACAAGGACTTCAAGGTACAAAACTGATTCCAAGAGGTTTTGTCCTTTTTTTTGTTGCTAACTTTGGTGCAACATTAATGATTGTTTTTTTATCTTCATTGAACCTTGTCTCTTGGTGGAGGATTTATAGTTAGGAGATTTACGGGTTTCTCCTCGCGGAAGCAGATTGTCTATTTCAACCATGGCTTGAATAACTGGCCGTTAGGAATTATACAAAGTAAAAAATTCCTTGGTTTCCACAACCTAGAATCTCCTCAGAGATGCAAAGTGTTTTCTTCATAAACCCTAGCCGTCATCATCTAGAATGGAAAAGCGTCATCTTTTCCATCACCTATAATGGTGTGTGTGTATATATATATATATNCATCCCTTATGGGTGGACCGGACCCAATAGCTTGTTCTAACACTTGGCTTTGGTGTTCATTCTCGGTTCTGCTCTGAACACAGAGTAGTAATTTGCTTGGCTGCGGCCCCTAATGCTTGGCTCTTCATTGAAGAATGCTTGCTTGCTTCTTGGTTGGCTTAGCTACAGCACACAACAGTACCTTCATCTGACAATAAATGGAATATCTGAGGCCCTTCTTTTCTCTTCGAAAGCTTAGAAGCAAAGACATCTAATGCTTCTTTCATCCACGGATGCCAACATACTTCCCTTGCTTCACTAAAATTCACCTGCATAATTGAATCAAATTCAACGTCATGAGGATACATTTTTCATTAAGATCCAAGTGATTCGAACGGGAGGCTTGGAGCAACAGTAAAGTTGCCTCCGTGTGATATAGGTCACAGGTTCGAGCCGTGAAATCAGCCACTAATTCTTGCATTAGGGTAGCCTGTCTACGTCACATCCCTTGGGGTGCCGTCTTTCCCCAAATACTCTGTGTGAATGCGGGATGTTTTATGCACGGGTGATTCAAGATTAGAATAGTTCCTATTGCAGATTGAAAACATACCCATAAACGTCGACGGACGGTTTTCTCAGGCCAATCATCTAGTTCCTCAGTGACACGCAAAGGAAACATGTGCCCCTCATGAAATGTACCTTGGCTTTTGCTTTTGAAACTCCATGTACCTAAGTATTCCTGCAAATTGACCACCGAAATATTATCACTTTTAGCTCGCATAAAAAATTATTTATATTCGATAGTCGGAAAAATGTATAAAATTTATATAAATTTTGTACGTGACATATAAAATGTATACATATACAAAAAAATATATATTTTTCGCTTATTATTGATAGCGGTTATATAGTGTCATTTTTCTAAATATATAGTTAATTAATAATGAGCAAAATTAAGGTTTAAGTGCGAAAATAACATTTATACCTCAATTCCAAACAAAGGAGAAAAAAAGATGAATCATCAAAGTTAATACACTATTTATCTTCGCATGCAGAAACGAACCTGAACCTCAACCTCACCAACTACTCCAGCTTCTTCAAATGTCTCTCGTGAAGCTGCCTCTTCTAATGATTCATCAATTTCCCAACCACCCTACATTTTAATTGCAAAGCCAAAAATGTCAATTGATATACATAATGCATTAGAAAGATTTTCCATATTTCAATTGGGAGCTAAAATTATAGATAATTTGATTGAATTAATGGTCTAAAGATATTATACCTTAGGGAACATCATTCTTGGATTCTTCTGCGAGCTGATTAATAAAAATTCCAAATCATCAACTGGGGTACCCTGAACACAAGATGGTTGGTCCGTTTTCTTGCATCTGTACGGAATGCATCTGCACCATTAAGGTAAAATGAGAGAAAAGTCACATCAACAACTTCTCATAAACAAGTACTACCCAACTCGCATTTTTAGAGTCGAACTTCTTTATTTTGACCGTGAATTTTTTGAAATAAATTTTATATATTTAAAACTATGTAAAAAGTACCGTAAGTTACAATAATTAACAAATTAAAAATATCTAAAAGGTATATGAAAATATCACAATTAAAGAAAACTCGTTTGACACTCAAAGTCTACCTCATATTTGCCCTCGAAAACATTCTTTGAAATACAAATTTTAGGAAGGAATAAAGAAAAGAATACACACCCAACAACTTGACGACAACCATGATTGTATCTCTGCAAATCTCTTCCTGTGCGAGAGGACATTGAGAAAGACTTCTTGATTTGCATATCCAACAAAAAAAAAGGACAAATGTTTTCTTCAACTTACGAAGAAACTTTTCTGAAACAAAAAAGTGGTACGCAAGAGATGACAGCAATATATATAGGAATAGAATTAGGCCGTTATAGAGAGAGGGAAAAATTGACGCGTATAATTTATATATCATTCACTCTTAAAAACTTGAAAAGAGTGGCTATTCTCTTGGGTTAGATGTTAGAAATCCAAGAAGCTAAATACAGATGAGAGATAGAAGTAAGCTTTTCTAGATCTCTTAATTGTGTGGATAATATGAGAATACTCTGTTATGTTTGTTTGTCCCCTCCTTTAATAGAGACAGGAGAGAGACAAAGAAGATTTAATATGAGAATGATATGGTAGCGGACAGGTTGTGCGTGGGTCAATCATTTTGGTGTTGTATTTTCCAGAAATTTTAGCCGAATGTCTATAGTAAATGGCCATCTTTTAATTTCTCTCACAATTTATGAACCTTATATACCAGGGTATAAAAATTCTTTTTGAATAAATTAAAAAATTATAAAAACGTTAGCTCATGATTTAAAATTTTGGTGAAAACATAGTTATATGATATTGGTGGAAAAAAATCATACTTATATAACCATTTGTTAAATTTACCCAAATACTGACAATGATATTAAATTAATTTTATACTACTCATGATGTATTCTAACTGGTTATAAAATGTTATTTACTGCACTTTTAAATTACCAAATTAGAATTCTATAGTACATAAGCTATACAATTACCATAAGCAATTTAAATTGAGACGTAAAATTCTCATACTACAAAATTGGACATTGAATGAGGCAGTTTGTTTGTTGCGTGCAAAGACAAAGCGTAACGACAAGACACGTTAACACGCACACAATAGCGTACTTCACGTTATTTGTATTGCAATTGTCAAGTGGGGGCAAATAACACCATTTGATTTGTTACGCGGCGCCTTCCTGAGATTCCTTGAAAGGGCGACGTAACGCTAAGCAACTGATGTCAGTGCAGTTGCTGTCCGTCAACTGAGGTCCCCTCCGTACGTTAAACTAGATTGTCAGTGTCGTACGGGAAAACCAATGTCAAGAGCAATTGAGAGAGCATGAATGAGAATTGAGAATGAAAGAAAGCTTGATTGCATTAATGAAATAATCTTCAATTAGGCTCTTGTAGGCTCTTGTAGGCTCTTGTAGGCTTTGAGGTTTGTTCCCCTCTCCCAAGTGTTCTCCTCTGCATCACAGCCCTGCCATTTCACCAAGAACTCTTGGTGATCTTTCCTTGAGGCATGAATCACTCTATCATCAAGGATAGCTTCAACACGCCTTTTTCCGGTTGAATTGGGCCCTCGAATACTGGGTATTGTGAGCTGGCTCCTTGAAGGATCCTCCGTGTCTTCCCGAAAAGGTTTCAGGAGGCTGACATGGAAGACAAGATGAATTTTCTACCAAGCTGGGGTATCCACCCGGTATGCAACTTTCCCAATGCGCCTTTCAATGGACAAGGGTCCAATGTATTTTTGCAATAGGCGAGGGTCATGGACCCCCGCAAATAAGTAACGCTTTGGAATTTTGACCATCACTTTGTCTCCTACTTGGTATTCAGCAAAGCGACGATTTTGATCAGCATGCTTCTTCATCCGCTTTTGAGCCTTGACAAGATAGCTCCGCACTATCTCCAAATTTTGCTTCCACTCTTTAGAGAAGCGAGTAGCTCGGGAGATTTAGACATATTTGGTGCATTGACTGTATGTGGGAGTAGCGGTTGCTGTCCGGTAACAATTTCAAAAGCGCTTTTGTTTGTACTAAAGCTCTTTTGTGAATTGAAACACAGTTGAGCAACATCCAGAAGCTTCACCCAATTCTTCTGCGATCCGGTTACAAAATGACGGAGATATTCCTCCAACATACCATTGAACTGCTCCGTCTGGCCATCAGATTGAGGATGAAAACTTGAGTTGTGACACAGCTTCGAACCAAGGCACTTAAAGAGTTGGGTCCAAAAGTTACTAGTGAAGCGTGAGTCACGATCACTGACAATATCTTTGGGCAGGCCCCAATATTTGACGACATGAGAGAAGAAGAGTCGAGCTGTATCTTCTGCTGATATATATTGTGGGGCAGCAATAAAGGTAGCATACTTGGAAAACCGATCTACCACAACCAAGATAGTTGTTAGATCTCCGACCTTGGGCAATCCGGTGATGAAATCCGGGAAAACACTTTCCCAAGGTCTCTTTGGGACAGCTAGTGGTTCCAAGAGTCCCGCCTATGTTAAGCGGTCTGACTTGTCCTTCTGGCATACTAGACAAGTCTTCACATACTAAGCAACATCATCGGCCATTTGAGGCCAATAATATGCACGACGAAGTAACGCCATGGTGCATTCTTTACCGGGATGGACGGCCCACAGAGTATCATGACATTCAGTCAGAAGAGTCCTTCGTAGATCTCCTCCTTTAGGAACATAAAGTCGGTTCCCTTTCACTTTCAGAAAACCATCTTCCATGTAAAACTGGCGAGTCTTGCCCTGTCCTACCAAATCAACCAAATACTGTGCAGCAGGATCTTTGATGAGTAAATCCTGTATCTGGTCCTTGATGGAGGTGGCTACTTCGCTCCCCCTTAGGGTGGCGAGTAGGCACACCGATGCTAGATCAGCTCTCCGACTGAGCGCATCAGCCACATGATTGGTCTTCCCACTTCGGTACTCCAGGTTGAAGTGGAATTCAGCTAGGAGTTCCTCCCACCTGGCCTGTCGACCATTCAACTTCGGCTGGGTCATGAAATGGATAACAACTGTGTTGTCTGTCTTGACCACGAACGGGGTTCCCATCAGATAGTGCCTCTACAGGCGCAAGCAGTGGACGACAACCAATAATTCTTTCTCATGGGCGGCATAGCGCCGCTCTGCATCTTTTAGCTTCCGGCTCTCGTACGCCACAGGATGCCCTTCTTGTAGCAAGACGCCACCGAGGGCATAGTCAGATGCATCTGTTTGTACTTCGAATGGCTTGGCCAGATCAGGAAGGGCCAAGACGGGGCTACTAGACATAGCCGCTTTCAATGCGTTGAAGGCCTCCGCTCGCTTGGGTCCCCATTCCCAAGGCGTGACCTTCTTGAGGAGTTCTGTCAATGGTACTGCAATGAGGGAGTAGTTTTTCACAAATCGCCGATAGAAATTGCATAGACCAAGGAACGCCCTCAAGGCGTGGTTATCCTTAGGCGGCGGCTAATCTGTGATTGCCTGAATCTTCTGCTGGTCCATCTTGATCCGCCCTTCCTCGATGACATGTCCGAGGAAGTCAATTTGCTTTTGAGAAAAGGAGCACTTAGATAGCTTCGCATATAGTTCATGCTCCCGCAATCAAGCTAGGACCTTCCGCAAGTGCATCAGGTGTTCCTCCAATATTTGGCTATATACCACAATGTCATCCAAGTATAACACCACGAATTCATCAATGTACTCTCGGAAGACTTGGTTCATCAAAGTGCAAAACGTAGCTGGGGCGTTAGTCAAGCCGAATGGCATAACTAGGAAATTGTACGACCCATATCTTATCACACAGGTCGTCTTGTGCTCATCACCCTCTGCAATCTAAACTTTCCAATAACATGTCTTCAGGTCTATTTTGGTGAACACCGTCGCACCACCCAGTCTATCGAACAAGTCTGTCATTAGCGGAATAGGGTACTTGTTCTTCACAGTAATTTTGTTTAGAGCCCGATAGTCTACACAAAGTCGTAGACTACAATCATGTTTCTTTTGGAATAGCACAGGGGACCCATATGGGGATTTGGAGGGCACGATAATCCTTGTGTCTAGCATTTTCGTTAATTGTCTCCGAAGCTCGGTGAGTTCGGGTTGTGACATTCTATAAGGCGCACGAGCGGGTGGCTTCGCGCCCGACACCAGCTCAATCTCATGGTCCACAGTGCGCCTAGGTGATAGTCGCTTTGGCATGTCTTGTGGCATGACATCTTCAAACTCTAGTAGTAGCTCCTTCACGGGTTCAGGAATGGGACCCGAGGAGCATTCTACATCTTCGATGCAGAGGGTTGCCAGGAACGTAGGTTCATGTCTTTTGACCCCCTTCTTCAACTGCAAGGCCGAGATGTTTTCAACGGCCATCTTCATGGGCATGCACGGGATAATGCAGGGCTTGGTCCCGTTTGCTCCCATCATCAGTAACATGTCAGCATACGGTACATGCATGGTGTTGGTTTGCCTCAGGAATTCCAATCCAACTATCAACTCGAAGTCATCTATGATCACCACGCACAGGTTGAATTTTCCTTCGTAAGGGCCAAGCTTCACCGGTACTTCTTTGGCTATTCCACCCACTGGCTGGGGAGGTGAGTTGATAGCCTTGACACAGCCTCTACCTTTCCCTACAACTAGACCAAGGCGCTCCACCTAAGTCGAGGCTAAGTAGTTGTGGGTAGCACCCGTGTCTACCATGGCCCGAATGGGCTTGCCATTCACCTTCATCTCAACGAACATTAAGGTACTCTCGTGCTTAAGAGGAGTCTCATCACCCGTCTTCTTTTTCCCTTTCTTGGTGACTGGACATGGGTCCTTATTCTTATGGATACCAGTACTAGTCTCTGCTAATGCCTCATAAATGGAGCCAACAATTGCATTGAAGGCACCTACTGGTTCAGTTTGATCCGCATCGTCTGAGTCGTCATCAGTCCCATCATCAAAAGTTTGATGAGCGTTCATCTGTGCATGTGGGCACTCATTGTTCCAGTGTGGTCCGCCACAATGATGGCATCCTGAAGGAGGCTTCCTCCCTTGATCATTGTTGTTAGACGCAGCACTGTTGCTGCCTGTGGAGGGAGCCTTAGGTTTGGTTGATCCCCAATCTCCCCCACTTCTGCTAGGGCCACCATTTTTAGACTGGCCCCCTTTGAATCCCGCTTGGGTAGGCGGCTGAGGCCTATCCTTCCGAGCTTCCATTTGATAGTCCCCAAGGCATTCAGCTGCTTGGATCGCCTTGGGCAGGGTATCTACCCGTTCTTTGTAGCTCCATATGGGCATAAGGTTTCAGCCCTTCTAGGAAAGTGAAGAGCTTGTCTTTGTCCCCCATATCGCGTATGCTTAGCATGAGTGCGGAGAATTCCTGCACGTAGTCCAGCACGGATTTGGTCTGGCGGAGCTCCCGTAGCTTTCTCCTTGAATTCTGTTCAACATTTTCGGGGAAGAACTGTAGGCGTATGGCTGCCTTCAGTTCTGCCCATGTTTCGAGAGCATCTTCACCGGCCTTGATGGCTTCGTAT